CGTCTTTCAACCCCTAGCATCACAACCAAACATGCCTTAACCTCAAAAGATACACTTCATCACCACATACAAAAATCGTGCATACATAACAAAATTCTGTCGAGGGATTATTGAATCAATACCTAACTGTTTTGCTGCATCATCAAGTCCAATAGTTTCAACTCCTTCACGGTCATACAAGCTCAAAAAACTGCATAACCATGCCACGAAAAAAAAGAAAAAAGAAAAATTGCTTGCATCAATATGCGACAGTAACAAACCGTCGAATTGTAGGATCCACCCACAGTACTTAGCTGGGGATACAGGCATATTCATGAGCTTAACCACAAAAGAAAGTAGAGTGAGTGATAGGGGAGAGAAAAGACCGTACTTTGAACATAGGAGACTGAGTGACTTCTGTTTCCGGCAATAAACAGATCGAGAATCTTCGGAAACAGAAAGAGCTAAAGCCATGAATCGCTGCAGATCTAACCCGTCTCACCGCGAAATCCGCTTCTGTGTATGTAAAGTAGTGTCTATAGTTACAGATCTTCGATATTTGGGGCTTTTGAGAAAGGGTTGTTGGCGGTGGCGGAGTTAAAAGAGAGGGGTTTTGAAAGTTTGAAATGATGCCATTTGTTCGTTAGCCGCTGGAGCGGGAGTTTCATTCCCTGAATTTTCCGTTTCTTACCTGAGAGAACGCGGCGCCTGTTTTGCTTTTCCCCCGCTTCGCCTCTTTTAACTTTTATCCTCGCAAAACGTACATCATTAAATGGAGATTTACATATTTTTATTTAGTTTGAAATTTTCTGGTCTGATTTGCTCTGATTTGATCTGATCGCACCTGAACTAGTCTGATCTGATCTGCTAAATGTATGATCTCTGTTTATTTTATAACTATCCAAATCTAGTTTGGTCTGATTTGATATTATACTCAAAAACAATCTAAGTAAATATATCTGGTACTCCTACTACTTTCTCAATTCATGTATCATGCTTTGGTTTAAGATGATTATTAAATAATAGTGGAAGTTTGAAAAGAAATAGAAGCACAACATGCTCAAAAATCACATATGAGTAAAAGTTTGAAAATTTCCAAAATGTGACTTTTTTGTGTTTAACAAAAATGCTTTTGCATGTATTAACTCTACTAGGGGCTCAACCACATGAATGCACTAACTTCTACTAAAAAATATCACGAGTAAAGGCTCACTTAACTTTAAGGGAACTTCTCACTCTAGCGCCACCGCCTAGGTTGACCTAGGGTTTTGTCCGGCGGCGGGCTTCTTGGCTTGCCACCGCGTTTTTATTAGTTAGATTTCGGCAAAGACAAAGGGTTGGAGCAAGATTTCGGTTCGGATACATTCAGTATCGGCGTTGATGAAGGGTGCAGCGGCGGCTTTGGCGGATTCTCTACGACGGCTTTGAGCGGTGCGTGGAAGGAATGGAAGAGGTGATGCATCAGTACAAGAGGACGGTATTAGGGGAAGAAAACACCAACTTGAATTTAGATGATAAGAAGGATGGAGAGATGTTTTCAACCGAGAAGGGAGCTGAATTTCTGGTAATGGGAGTTGTCTTCACAGATTGGAAAGAAGCTACTGTACTGCCGGCTCGTCCCCCTCCTGAACTGCCGCCGTGGAGGGCAGGAGAGGCTAGGGTTTGGATTTTCTAACGGCAACGGAAGTATTTTTTATTTTGTTTTGCTTGTTTTTCCAGTAATTGTTATTTCCTTTTTGGTGTTTGTTTTTTCTTTATGTTCCAGTTTGTAAGACGTTGATTTTAGATGTGGGGGATGAGAAGAATTTGGTAACCGTGTTAGGCTTTTTATTTCCCAGTTATGGATCAGCGAATTATATTGCTACAGCGATTAATTCCAAGTCTGGTTCGAGGGATGATGATTATCAGTTTTCTTTTTGTCAGTTGATCCATACTCTGAACATTTATTGATTATTTATCTAAGCCGAATTCTTTCAAAAAAAAACTCTACTAGGGGCGGAGCCAGGGAATTGAGTCAGCACAAAGAATATTTTTTGATAAAAAAACTTACAAGATATTTTTCACGCTAAAAAATATAATTTTTTAAATTTAGGGTTGGTCGGGGCCTAAGTTGGCCCCCCTAGTTGTGCCCCTAAACCCTACCCACTTCCGCCACCAACCACTATCGAACTCCGCCCATCGCAGCTCCCCCAACCGCTACCTAGATTCTGACCACCGTTCGCCATTCGTCGTCACCGGAGTTTTCGACCGGGTGATATAGAAACAAATCTTTGCATATAGAAACAAAAGATATTAGGGAAAACTCCAGAAATAGGATTAAACAAATTAAATTTTCAAAATAGGACCGTCGTATTTTTATTCCCAAAATATGAGTAATTACTGTAATGTTTGGAAAAAACTGTCATGTTTAAAGTCTGGTACTGCGAAAACATGGGAGCAATTAATCCTATTTTGGGAATAAAAACATGATTATCCTATTTTGGAATATGCAAACGTTTTAGTCCTATTTAGGGTAATTTCTCAAATTATTATTCCTTTGTTCTAGTGAATTAAGGTTGAAGTTAATTTCACTTTTGGGCATACGAGTTTTATGTCTTTTTTTCCCTGTGTTTTATGGCAATTTCACATTTAATACACGTCTTTCACTTTTGTCGACTTTTAATACTTGACTGTTTTTTTACCGCTTTCGATGCATCTCTTTGATTTTGACAACTAGAAAAGCGGCTATATATGGGCGAAAAACATTACTTGTGTATCATGAAGGTTGTGTAAAATATGATTTTTGTCAAGTATTTTTATACATGCTTTTATAAAGATAGTGGGTCTTTGTTTTCCTTTATGACAAAAGGGATTGGATAGAGGAATTATTATAAAGATTGGAAAACTGTCAAATAGGTCCTCCAACTTTGAAAAAAAAGTCAAATAAGTCCTTATATAGGAGGCTCTGTCCGGCCATCGCGATTTGGGGCGGTTTCCGGTGGAATTTTTTAATGAAACTTTTTTAGCATCTTATTCATCGAGTCTAGTTTACTCATACCAAATTTCAGCTAAAACTTCAATCAGGAACGCATTCAAATTAATTCTTGAAGATAACTGTGCAGTTAAATGAGCAATTATCTTCAATAATTAATTTGAATTTGTTCCCGGTTGATGTTTTAGCTGAAACTTGGTATGAGTAAACTAGATTTGATGAATAAGATGCTCAAAAAATTTCATCAAAAAATTTCACCGGCAACCGCCCCAAATCGCGACGGCCGGACAGAGCCTCCTATATAATGACTTATTTGATCTTTTTTTGAAAGTTCGAAGACCTATTTGACAGTTTTCCCTATAAAGATAGTGGTCTTGTTGAGTCAGCTGGTCATCGACTCGCTCTCTCTTATTGGAGGACTGGGGATCAATACCTAATGTAGTGATTTTGATCCCAATTTATCCCAAGCTCCCCCAGCCCTCCTCAACCCCAGGTAAAAAATGTTTAATTTCCCCAGCCCTGACAAAAGGTTGTTTGTTTAGAACAACTGTTGTGAGCAAAAAAAAACTATGTTATTTTGGAAGTTATTGTGCGAGAGGGGCCTGCAAAAGTTACAAAAGGTCTTTATTTCAACAATGGCATCGTGTGACTAGCTATCCAAAATATCCAATGTGGTCATTTAAAGAGGACAGCAAGTAGACCATTAAAACGAAAACAATTGTTTTTTAGTGTAATCACAAGTCTTAAAAATATACTACATCCGACTCACTAACACTGAAACATGAGGATATGGTGCGGATATTACAAAAAAAAGGTTTACATGGCTGATATTGAATTGATAAATTAATAATAGATAAGAATGATATAGAAACACATACACTTTACTAAAGAAAGACGATGACAGCCTTAGTGAGATGGAAGGAATATATTCTTGACATCTTTTTTTTTGTTTTTTAAGGAGAACACTTAACTATTATTAATAATGTTCCAAAACACTGAAAACCTTGCCACAAAACAAAACCTCTATCCTCCCAATTTCCATATAATCATATGGTCCCCTCGCCCCGAGAACAAATGCAAAAGAGTCAACTCTTAAAAACCAACACTCTTTATTGGACATGCGAGAGATTTGAAGCAACCGTCAGTCCTAAAATCCAAAACACTTCCTCCCACATCAACAAATTATTCAACGTTCTCAAAACTAAAGACACAAGTATTGTTCGAATAAAAAGGTATGATATAGCAAACAATAAACCTTGAAGGAAAAAATTTGCAAGTGGCCAAATTCAACCTTTAAGTGTCGAGCAAGGTTGGCATCTCACCCGTTGTGTTGCCCTTCCAGCCTTCCGCTATCTTCCTGTCCCATGGTAACAACCGCACCATCAAACCTTCCGCCATACATGTAACACCGTCCCCAAATATATTTACTTTTATGTAAATAATGTATTGAACCTTATTAAAGGGTTAATGAATTTACGAAGTTGTAAATTTTTACTACTTCTTTCGCGTGAATAGTAAATTGCACGTGGGACCCACACCGAGTGTGGGGGCTGCCCGACATTCCCGAGACCATATATTTTATTCATCTTGGTCTAGATAATAAATATATATTGGTGGATATTTCATTTGGGCCATGGAAAGGCCCAGAGTTGACCGATCGGTCAAAAGAGGCCCAAATTACCGGTACTGGTAATTTAACGGATAACAGCCCGAACTGAATTTCGGAGGCTTATAAATTAAAGTTGGGGAATGTATATTCATTATACATGTCATAATGAGTAAGAGCACATAATATGTTTTATTTGACCCGATGAAATAAAATATATTTAAAACAACCCGAAAAATACAACTTTCGGGACCGATTGTACACACCGGGACACAAAGGGATGACCTCCCACATGAGTGGGGGCCACCCCACGTTTTTTTGTGGGCTGTGAGAGGAGGGGAGGCTGGCTGATTGGAGAGGAGGGGTGTGGGAGTGGTTGACTTGAGGGGATTGGCATCAAAAGGACACATGGGGGGTCCTTGCCATGTTATCATGGTGGAATAAGCCAAAAGGTGGCATTTCCTCTCACCTCCACCCCCATTTTCGACCAACCCCATCAAGAAAGGAGAGGGAAGCTCTCAAACCATCCTCCATAGCTGCAAAATTCGAGCTCAAGCATAAGTGCTCAAAGAAGGAAGATTAAAGAGGGAAAAAGTTGGGAAAAGTGTGAATAATTAAGGTAATGACCTTATTATAACTTCTCCTTTATTTTTCTTCTACCATATGAGGTATATATCATGTGAAGGACCCTTAGTATGGTTCCACATGTTATAAGTATGGATTTATGGGTAGGAAGATGGTTCTATGTCCAAGAACGGACTTAGAGACCAAAAATACCGGTTCACCGGAAAATAACCTTTTTGAGGTTATTTGTATTAACATGAGTTTTATGATTATAAAACCTTGTTAGGCACTTGTAAAGGGTATTTCAAGTGATTCCTCAAAGTTGGAAAAGTCGCCGGAGTTGTTGCCGGAGTTGACCGAAAGTCGCCGGAGTTTCACCGGAGTTCAACCAAGAAGGGTAGAACTTCATAACGCAAATTCAAGGTGAGTGGACGGCTTAATACTTCCTCCGTTCGGATATAGTTGCAACATAACAAGTTGGCACACTATTTAAGACATTTAGCTTTAAAGGGTGACTTTCCAGCTTTACCCTTGTGATTGGATGGATAAGAGATAATACGAAGTAATACATAAAGTAAACATCTTTACAAAATCACACTTTCTATAGCTACAGTAGCTATATGGCTATCAGTTCATACAAAAGCAACTTCTTATCAATTCGTACAATTGTACAGTAGCATATCCTCGCCATTTTTCATTCTAAACCAAAAAATCAAATTTCCCTCCTTCCTTAATTTACCCACCAAAAGTCAAATTTCCCTCCTTCCTTAATACTGCTATAAATACTGCTATAAATAGAAGTGCCATCTTACACCACAACATACTCCTACAAAGAAAAAAAAAACAGATTTCAGGGCAGGAGCTATGAATGATGATATTTCAATTTCAGAACTTCTTCAGTTGGAGGATGCCATGCTTCAAGACTTCGATGTTGAGCCAGAATTTGAATTTTTCTCCTCCTTTTCTGAAAGTGACAGTGAGGTAGGAGCTGATTCACACATACCTGAAAATGTTATTCTATCTCACACATCCATTGGAAGTAAAAAAGTGGAACTCACAAATAATCAAAGAAAGCGCATGGTAGAAAAACTTTTATTGTTGGGTGATGGTAATACCTTACCTAAAGGTGCTATGTCAGAAGTTGCTGCAGAATTCAATGTTCATAGAACAACAGTTTGGAGAATCTGGTCTGCTGCTAAAGTTCAAGTTTCTAGCGGGACAGTGGTGGATGTCCAAAGTAAAAAAAAAGGGAAAGTTGGCAGAAAACCTAAAGTTTTTGATATGGATAGTCTTAAAGATGTGCCCATTCAACAAAGGACCACCATCCGATCTTTGTCAACCGTGCTTGGAATTAGCCATTCGGCAGTTTATCGCTTACTGAGAAGCGGGCAACTTAGAGCCCACACCAACAGTGTTAAACCAAAACTGAATCACACACACATGAGAAGAAGGCTTATTCACATTATGACTCAAGTAATTACAAGGGAAGTGAACACAATACCTACATTTTCAGGTATGTACAATGTTATTCATATTGATGAGAAATGGTTTTACATGTCACAAAAAACTCAAAAGTTTTACCTATTTCCTTGGGAGGAAGAACCTTATAGAAGCTGTCAAAATAAAAATTTTATTGGCAAGGTTATGTTTTTGGCTGCTGTGGCTAGGCCACATATTTCTAATTTAGGAGAAGTTCTATGGGATGGAAAAATTGGGATATTTCCATTTACAGAAGTTGTCTATGCACAAAGGAGGTCATGTAATAGGGAGGCAGGAACCCCGGAAACAAAATCCCTACAATGTGTGACGCAACAAGTTATCAGGTCCAAATTAATAAACTCAGTCTTGCCAGCTATAAGAGAACATTGGCCACCTAATGCATGTAAGGATATTTGGATTCAACAGGATAACGCTAGACCACATGTTGGTGTTAATGACCAGGAATTTATGGAGGCTGCATCTTTATTTGGTTTCAATATACGACTTACATGCCAGCCTGCACAAAGTCCTGATTTGAATGTATTGGATCTTGGCTTTTTTAGAGCTATACAATCTATTCAATATAAAGCTTTTCCTAAGTCTGTTGATGAACTAGTTGCTGCTGTTCAAGATGCGTTTTACTCTTATGAACCAAAGTTGTTGAACTACACATGGTTACACCTTCAATACATCATGTTGGAAATATTGAAGGTAAAGGGCGGTAATAATTATAAAAACCCCCACAATGCTAAAAAAAAGCTGGACAGTTTGGGTTTGCTACCTACACAAGTTGAGATTCCTGAAGAGTTAATTGAAGAAACACACAATTTCTTAATGGAAGGTCAAGTTTTGGTGCCTGCTGCCTAGAAGACTTAAAGACTAATTCTTGGAAAAAGGAGCTGCTTATTTTTGTTATCTGATGTCACAGTACTATATTTTGGAGCTGCTTATTTTTGTTATCTGATGTCACAGTACAATATTTTAGGAGAATTTCAAGTATGTGCAGTCACAGTATTATAAAGTATTTTTGGGTAGTGTACAAGGTTTAAAACCTTTTGTTTTGATGTAGTTGTAAGCATTTTGCTGGGCTTGTATTATTCCCAAAAATTATAGTTGCACAAATTATAGCTGCAGGGTAGTGGTGTTAAACTTTTTGTAAAGCCTGTATGAAGACTCAATGAAAATGAGTTCAATGTTTTCCAAATTACTATCACAGTTTTACAACTTCAATTTGGAATGAAGCCAGAACTTGAATTATTTAGAAAAATTGAACTCCCTCAAGAAAGGTAATTACTTCCGATTTAAATGTTTTCTTAGAATCAAACGAAGTGAGCATCAAGTGGAGGAAGGTAATTGTAAGTGACAGTTTACCTCTTTCAAAATCCTCAGGAAATTGATTTGGCCAGAAGATTTTGAATAATTCCATTCTGTTTTAGATTAACAACCGGCAAGTTGGGTTTACTCTTCCTTTTTTATGTTGAGTTGTATTCCCTTTCTCTCGCTGCTTTGAACATGGGGAGGAGTGTGAGGAACTAATAAATCGGTGCCTTCAACAGTAGATTCTCGAGGAGGAGGAGTAGGAGCGAACAGATCTAAATCGTTGACCTGGTGTGCCTCCATCTCCATAAAATCCGGCGGTCTAGACCAGGTTTTTCGCTCAAGGGAAATTTTAGATCTAAAACTATGTAAATTAAAATAAGGAAGAGATAAGATAAGGTGAGAGAAGAAGATAAGAATGAGAAATGCAGAGAGGTTCGTAAGGAAAGAGAGGGTGTGGTGTAATAAAAGGTGAGGAAAGAGAGTGGTAGGTGAATTAATTTCAAGTAGAAATAAATTACGGAGCTTTTTTTATAAGGGTAATAAAGTCATTGTTTGTGTTCCTTTTTACCTAAAAGAGTAATGTTGCAACTATTTTGAAACTGCCGAAAAAGGAAAGTGTTGCAATTATAAAAGAACGGAGGAAGTATCTTATAACTTTTGGGTTAATTATGAGATTACCTAAATAAATGTTATATGAGTTCATAAAAATGTTTAAAAGATATTTAAACATGTGATTAGCCAATAGGGTTAAGATTGTATGAAAGAAATAAATTGTTTGTGCATGGAATATGATATGAAGGATTTTATAAAATACATATTTGTTTGAAATGTATAAGATGCACAAATGAATATTATTAACTTAATTACATGATGGTTAAGTTGATAAGTATAAGACTTGTAATGGCGGCCAACGACAACGTTGACCGATGGATAATGAATTAATTAATATCGGTTGATATTAGTTAATTATGTATTTATATAATTGCATGGCTTTGCATGGATTGTGATACATAAGCTTGATGTATTGGATTAGTTATGAGTAACTAAGTATGATATAGACTCTATCTAGGTTGATAGAAGGTTGATCATAGGCAAATATATTGGTGGAGGACCCTAGTACTTAAAAGTACTTAACACTCAAAATTTGGTGGAGGACCCTAGGACTTAAAGTCCTTAACACTCGGATTATAAATTGGTGGAGGACCCTAGTACTTAAGAGTACTTAACACTCAAAATTTGGTGGAGGACCCTAGGACTTAAAGTCCTTAACACTCGGATTATAAATTGGTGGAGGACCCTAGTACTTAAAAGTACTTAACACTCAAACTTGGTGGAGGACCCTAGTACTTAAAAGTACTTAACACTCAAACTTGGTGGAGGACCCTAGTACTTAAAAGTACTTAACACTCAAACTTGGTGGAGGACCCTAGGACTTATGAGTCCTTAACACTCACAAACCGGTGGAGTACCCAAGGATTATGATCCTCAAAACTCGTAGATTATGATATTGGAATAGGGACAAGGAGGAGTCCTATACACTCATTGGTATATGGGTGGGTTGGGGTTTTTAGTCAAGAATATTGACTATTACTATTTTTCCCAAATAAAATGGTGATCTACGGATCGGATATTTTCCAAGTATATATTTATACTAATAAATATTTCATAACTTGGGGGAAAGACTATCTATTTAAGTATCACCCTATGTTTGGGTCTTATACTTGAAACGTTAGTTATTCTATATTTAGCCTGCTACTCGCTCGGTACTTGTACTGACCCCTTCGGGCCCCCCCCACCATTTTCAGGTTGAAGCTAGGGCTTGCTACTTGCACCTTCTCACGGGTGGTATCAAATCAGGAAGACGTGGTTCGTGCTTCCTTATTTTCTTTCAAACTACCGAACACTTGCTCATGGATATTTGTTCTACTATAAACTATTTTTGGGGCTTGCATGCCCATGTTGTTGGCCGGTTGTGGCTTATGACTTACCGTTGAATATTTCCGCTATTCATTGGTTTAAATGTGATGTTGTTATGTATGTTTACTACTGAGTATGGATGGATTGTTTTCTCAAACGCCTTGTGTAATTAAGTGAGGTTGACTCGCGGGTGACGTCACTTAATTATACGGCGGTTGTACACGCGCTTGGATTGCGGTCTGGGGCGTGACAATTATGTGGTATCAGAGCCATCTCAGTTCTAAACATTATAATCAACCTCTCACAAAAGATTTTACAAAAGAGTTTTTACCGAAAACCATGAGCATTGTATTTTGACGTTTATAGGACTATTGGTGCTTAAGTTGCAAGGCCTCTAATTGTTAAGACGGTACCCTTAACAATTGGTATGGTAGTGACATGGGCCAATACGTGTCTGTAACGTTCTTCCGTCAATTGACATTTATAGGAGTCTAATGACTCATCCATATTTCTTTCAGAAATGGAAGGCAGGCGAATGGGGACCAGGAACAATCCGAGGGGGCAAGCGCCGGTAGCATCCCAAAGGGGAAGCCGGGCTGCATCTCGGGGTTCAAGAGGAGGCCGTGGAGGCCGTGGAAGCCGTGGAGGTCATCAAGCTCAAACTGTGAGTGATGGCCATGTAAGTTCAGTGTATGAAACCAACACCGAGGACTATGACTCAACCTACGTTCCAGAAACGGAGCATGAGGAGACCCCGTATGATGGGGGTGACACACACACCGATGATGATGATGAAGAGAGTGATGCCAAGTTCGCCCAAATGGGCGAATTGCTTGAGTGGTATCAAAAAGAAAAGCTGAGGAGAGACCTTAGGCGCCAAGCAAGGCGTGGCTCTCGGGGTGGTTCGGGTCAAGGAAGCCGGGGAGCTTCAAGGGCCACCCCCGCGGCGTCACATGGTGGGCGTGAAGGAGGCTTTTGTGTGAGAATCTCCAAGTACCTCAAGGAGGCTAGGGCCTTGGGGTGTAAGTCCTTTGACGGCACCGGTGACATTACCGTTGCCGCCGATTGGATAAAGAAGGTGAAGGATGCGGCAAAGGACATGCAAATTTCACCGGACGTGAAGTTGACTGTTGCTTCACGGCTGCTTGAGGGGATAGCTTCCACGTGGTGGGAGAGTGTAGAAGGGAAATACCATGGGGAGGTCTCATGGTTAAATTTTGAGCAGGAATTCTATGACCAATACTACACTGATTATGAGAAAAATGTCAAGCGTAGGGAGTACACCAACCTCAAACAGAGGGAGGGTGTTTCTGTTAAACAGTTGGAGCAAGATTTTAGAACCTTGGCTAGGTTCTTGCCGGAATACGCGATCAATGAGGACCGCATGTCGGAGCACTTTTGGGATGCCTTACTCTTGGACATCCGTGATCGGGCTACGTACTCGCGCCACATGACCTTTAGCGAGGTAGTGGAGCAGGGCCTTCTTGGGGAGGCTCAATGGAATGAGAGGAAAGAAAGAGACGCCGAGGAGGCGAAAAAGAGAAAATGGCATAATTCGGGGCCGCCCGAGCAAGCACGGAAGAATCACCACGGTGGGGGTGGTAGTACGTTCAAGACGCCGGCACCACCGGCGAAGAAGAACAAGGATGCTCGGTGGCACGCATCCTCCTCTCAAAATACGGGGCCTCCTAAGTGTGCCAACTGCTCAAAGAATCACTTCGGGAAGTGCAACGCACCCCCGAGGTGTTATCGGTGTGGGAACACGGGCCACATGAAGGCCAATTGCCCACAATTGGGGGGAGGAGGAGCTCCGGGATCCGGAGGAGGAACCATGACGGGGAGAAACCGTGCGGGCCCGTCAAACGGCGGTGCGGGAAGAGGCGGCGCGTCCACAAGTCATGCCGCGTCCGTAAATCAAGGCGGGACCCAAGCACGAGTGTACGCAATGACCGAGGCTGATGCACGAGCAAACCCGGACTCCGTTGCAGGTAATACACTTATTTTCCTGTATTTCTAGGCTTATTTGGGTCATACGAGTCATTGGGTTTGGGTGCGGGCCACCCCGGGGTCAAACCCCGCGAATTCGGGGCGAAACGGGCTAGAAACAACTACGCGCGATCGCGCGTACCTACGGACGCACGACCGTGCGTGCGAGGCAGCAGCCTCTGGCCAATTTCCGCGCAGACGCACGCCGTGCGTGGACGCACGATCGTGCGTGACCAGCTACGCACGATCGTGCGTAGCCGGCAGTGGCGGATTCCGGATTTTTCAAGCACGCACGACCGTGCGTGCCACCCAGGCACGCCGTGCGTGGACCCCCAACACCCGAAACTTGATTTTTTCGCCCCGTTCTTCTACGTTTGGACCCCCGTTTGATTCCAAACATTAGTATGAGCCTAATAACCTCCTAAAGATGTGTTAAAACATTAGAAAATGTATCTTACATGTGTATAAATGTAGGAACATTAAAGATCAATGGTAGGCGTGCGAGGATCCTCATTGATACCGGGGCACAACGCTCATTTGTGAGTGAGGCGTTCGCCGAGGGCCTTGACGTGCCATTGACACCTATGACTCAAACGTTGCTAGTCTCCACACCGTTAGGAGACGACGTGGAGAGAAATCATTACTATCCGTCGTGTAAGGTAGAAGTGATGGGTCAACCTTTGACTTGTGATTTCGTACCTCTAAGCATGTTGGAGTTCGATGCAATCCTAGGAATGGATTGGCTCGAAAAACACCATGCCCGAGTAGATTGCTACACCAAGGTGTTGGAGCTCGAGGATGATCAAGGGAACACGCTATGCTTTGAGGGAGATCGGGGGAAATCTAATGCTTGTATCATATCCGTGATGAGAGCACGGAAGATGATGAGAAAGGGATGCCACGCGTACCTTGCCTACGTGGTGGACGATACCAAGAAGGAAGTCGACATCAAAGATGTACGGGTCGTGTGCAAGTACCCGGATGTCTTCCCCAAAGACCTACCGGGGCTTCCACCCGATAGAGAGATAGAGTTTGTAATTGAAGTGGAGCCGGGAACCAAACCCATTTCGATTCCTCCTTATCGAATGGCACCGGCCGAACTTCAAGAGTTGAAGGTCCAACTGCAAGAATTATTGGACAACGGATTCATCAGACCCAGCCATTCACCGTGGGGGGCACCCGTACTCTTCGTGAAGAAGAAGGATGGTACACTAAGAATGTGTATTGACTACCGACAATTGAACAAGGTCACAATCAAGAACAGGTATCCCTTACCGAGGATTGATGACTTGTTTGATCAACTTCGGGGGGCAATAGTGTTCTCGAAGATTGATTTGAGGTCGGGGTATCATCAGTTGAAGATCAAGGAGAGTGACATACCTAAGAGTGCATTCCGCACTAGGTATGGTCATTACGAGTTCCTTGTGATGTCATTTGGTTTAACCAACGCACCGGCGGCATTCATGGACTTGATGAACCGGGTGTTTAGTGAATACTTAGATCAATTTGTGATAGTATTCATTGATGATATCTTGATATACTCCAAGAGTGAGGAGGAGCACGAGCATCATTTGGGGCTTATACTTGATCGGCTAAGGGAAAAGCAACTCTTTGCCAAGTTCTCTAAATGCGAATTTTGGCTCAAGGAGATTGGTTTTCTCGGTCACGTCATATCCGGTTCGGGCGTAGCTGTGGATAACGCCAAAATAAAAGCTATCATGGATTGGGAGAGACCCAAGAATGTGAAGGAGATACGTAGTTTCCTTGGCTTAGCGGGATACTATCGTAAATTCGTTGAGAAATTCTCCGTATTGGCGTCTCCATTAACGAAGCTCACAAAGAAAGGGGCCAAGTTCGTATGGGACGACAAGTGTGAGAAGGGGTTCCTTGAATTGAAGAAACGACTTACCGAAGCACCCGTCCTTGCCCTACCCATACAAGGGATAGGGTATGATATATACAGCGATGCTAGCATCCAAGGGCTTGGATGTGTACTGATGCAAAACGGTAAGGTGATTGCCTATGCTTCTAGGCAATTGAGGAAACACGAGGTGAACTACCCTACCCATGATCTAGAATTGGGGGCGGTAGTGTTTGCACTAAAAATTTGGAGACATTATCTCTACGGGGAGACATGTCACATTTATACCGATCATAAGAGCTTGAAGTATGTATTCACTCAAAAAGAGTTGAATATGAGACAAAGGAGATGGATGGAGTTGATCAAGGACTATGACTTGATCATCGACTATCATCCCGGAAAGGCCAACGTAGTGGCCGACGCACTGAGCAGGAAAAGTACGTCGGGGACGTTACTTACTTGTCTGCAGGCATTAAGGGCACGCGTGGAGGTGTCCACGTGTGGGGCTCTCATTGCTCAATTTGAGGTTAGGCCCACCCTATTGGGTGAGATTAGTCGAAGTCAGGCCATTGATGAGGAATGTCAGAAAATCCGTGAAAGAATCCTGGAAGGACCCGTTGAGAACTTCCGAATACGTGATGACGGTCTATTATTGTTTAAGGATCGTGTATGCATACCAAAGAATGAGGAACTCCAGAGGTCTATACTTGAGGAGGCTCATTCCTCAGCTTATGCTATGCATCCAGGAGGTACTAAGATGTACCGAGATTTGAAGGAAAGTTACTGGTGGTCAGGTATGAAGAGGGACATCGCAGAGTATGTGAGTCGATGCCTTACTTGCCAGCAAGTTAAGGCAGAACATCAGCACCCGGCAGGGCTTTTGCAGCCACTCACCATCCCAGAGTGGAAGTGGGAGCACGTGACCATGGACTTCGTGGTGGGGCTACCACGAACAGTGAACAACTATGATGCAGTTTGGGTAGTGGTTGATAGGCTCACCAAGAGTGCACACTTTTTGCCTATCAACATTACTTATCCTCTTGAAAGATTGGCCAAGCTCTACACGGAGGAGATTGTGAGATTACATGGAGTCCCGATATCCATTGTCTCGGATAGGGATCCACGATTCACATCCCGATTTTGGCCAAAGTTTCAAGCATCGCTGGGTACTAAACTGAAGTTTAGCACAACTTTTCACCCACAGACGGATGGACAGTCCGAGCGGGTGATACAGATTTTGGAAGACATGCTTAGGGCATGTGCTTTGGAATTCCAAGGAAGTTGGGACAAGCATTTGGCCCTAGTGGAGTTTGCTTATAACAACAGTTATCAAGCAAGTATCGGCATGCCTCCATATGAGGCATTGTATGGGAGGAAATGCAGAACACCGTTGTGTTGGGACGAGGTTGGCGAGGCCAAACTCGAAGGGATAGAGCTGGTTGAGATCACCAAGGCCAAGGTAAGGATCATTCGGGATAGATTGAAGGCTGCTCAGGACCGACAGAAGAGTTATGCTGATAAACGGCGGAGACCGTTGGAGTTCGAAGTCGGTGACGAGGTCTTCCTAAGGATTTCTCCTTGGAAGGGCATCATTCGATTTGTATCGAGGGGAAAGCTTAACCCCCGATACATTGGTCCATTTGAGATCCTTGAAAGGATTGGAGCCGTGGCTTATCGTCTCAAGTTAACGCCGGAACTTGAGAAGATACATGATGTGTTTCATGTATCAATGCTCAAGAAGTACATACGGGATCCCTCTCATATTCTTGAGAAACCGCCAGTAGAAATCCGTGAGGATTTGCAATATGCGGTGGAACCAGTGAAGATTGTTGGTCAACAAGTGAAGAAGCTTAGGAATAAGGAGATTCCTATGGTAAAGGTCCTTTGGAGGAGTGATCGAGTCGAAGAAGAAACTTGGGAGACCGAGGTCTCAATGAGGGAGCAATACCCATTTCTTTTCGATTAGATACTTGGATTTCGGGGACGAAATCCCAAATAAGGGGGGGTGAACTTGTAACACCGTCCCCAAATATATTTACTTTTATGTAAATAATGTATTGAACCTTATTAAAGGGTTAATGAATTTACGAAGTTGTAAATTTTTACTACTTCTTTCGCGTGAATAGTAAATTGCACGTGGGACCCACACCGAGTGTGGGGGCTGCCCGACATTCCCGAGACCATATATTTTATTCATCTTGGTCTAGATAATAAATATATATTGGTGGATATTTCATTTGGGCCATGGAAAGGCCCAGAGTTGACCGATCGGTCAAAAGAGGCCCAAATTACCGGTACTGGTAATTTAACGGATAACAGCCCGAACTGAATTTCGGAGGCTTATAAATTAAAGTTGGGGAATGTATATTCATTATACATGTCATAATGAGTAAGAGCACATAATATGTTTTATTTGACCCGATGAAATAAAATATATTTAAAACAACCCGAAAAATACAACTTTCGGGACCGATTGTACACACCGGGACACAAAGGGATGACCTCCCACATGAGTGGGGGCCACCCCACGTTTTTTTGTGGGCTGTGAGAGGAGGGGAGGCTGGCTGATTGGAGAGGAGGGGTGTGGGAGTGGTTGACTTGAGGGGATTGGCATCAAAAGGACACATGGGGGGTCCTTGCCATGTTATCATGGTGGAATAAGCCAAAAGGTGGCATTTCCTCTCACCTCCACCCCCATTTTCGACCAACCCCATCAAGAAAGGAGAGGGAAGCTCTCAAACCATCCTCCATAGCTGCAAAATTCGAGCTCAAGCATAAGTGCTCAAAGAAGGAAGATTAAAGAGGGAAAAAGTTGGGAAAAGTGTGAATAATTAAGGTAATGACCTTATTATAACTTCTCCTTTATTTTTCTTCTACCATATGAGGTATATATCATGTGAAGGACCCTTAGTATGGTTCCACATGTTATAAGTATGGATTTATGGGTAGGAAGATGGTTCTATGTCCAAGAACGGACTTAGAGACCAAAAATACCGGTTCACCGGAAAATAACCTTTTTGAGGTTATTTGTATTAACATGAGTTTTATGATTATAAAACCTTGTTAGGCACTTGTAAAGGGTATTTCAAGTGATTCCTCAAAGTTGGAAAAGTCGCCGGAGTTGTTGCCGGAGTTGACCGAAAGTCGCCGGAGTTTCACCGGAGTTCAACCAAGAAGGGTAGAACTTCATAACGCAAATTCAAGGTGAGTGGACGGCTTAATATCTTATAACTTTTGGGTTAATTATGAGATTACCTAAATAAATGTTATATGAGTTCATAAAAATGTTTAAAAGATATTTAAACATGTGATTAGCCAATAGGGTTAAGATTGTATGAAAGAAATAAATTGTTTGTGCATGGAATATGATATGAAGGATTTTATAAAATACATATTTGTTTGAAATGTATAAGATGCACAAATGAATATTATTAACTTAATTACATGATGGTTAAGTTGATAAGTATAAGACTTGTAATGGCGGCCAACGACAACGTTGACCGATGGATAATGAATTAATTAATATCGGTTGATATTAGTTAATTATGTATTTATATAATTGCATGGCTTTGCATGGATTGTGATACATAAGCTTGATGTATTGGATTAGTTATGAGTAACTAAGTATGATATAGACTCTATCTAGGTTGATAGAAGGTTGATCATAGGCAAATATATTGGTGGAGGACCCTAGTACTTAAAAGTACTTAACACTCAAAATTTGGTGGAGGACCCTAGGACTTAAAGTCCTTAACACTCGGATTATAAATTGGTGGAGGACCCTAGTACTTAAGAGTACTTAACACTCAAAATTTGGTGGAGGACCCTAGGACTTAAAGTCCTTAACACTCGGATTATAAATTGGTGGAGGACCCTAGTACTTAAAAGTACTTAACACTCAAACTTGGTGGAGGACCCTAGTACTTAAAAGTACTTAACACTCAAACTTGGTGGAGGACCCTAGTACTTAAAAGTACTTAACACTCAAACTTGGTGGAGGACCCTAGGACTTATGAGTCCTTAACACTCACAAACCGGTGGAGTACCCAAGGATTATGATCCTCAAAACTCGTAGATTATGATATTGGAATAGGGACAAGGAGGAGTCCTATACACTCATTGGTATATGGGTGGGTTGGGGTTTTTAGTCAAGAATATTGACTATTACTATTTTTCCCAAATAAAATGGTGATCTACGGATCGGATATTTTCCAAGTATATATTTATACTAATAAATATTTCATAACTTGGGGGAAAGACTATCTATTTAAGTATCACCCTATGTTTGGGTCTTATACTTGAAACGTTAGTTATTCTATATTTAACCTGCTACTCGCTCGGTACTTGTACTGACCCCTTCGGGGGGCCCCCACCATTTTCAGGTTGAAGCTAGGGCTTGCTACTTGCACCTTCTCACGGGTGGTATCAAATCAGGAAGACGTGGTTCGTGCTTCCTTATTTTCTTTCAAACTACCGAACACTTGCTCATGGATATTTGTTCTACTATAAACTATTTTTGGGGCTTGCATGCCCATGTTGTTGGCCGGTTGTGGCTTATGACTTACCGTTGAATATTTCCGCTATTCATTGGTTTAAATGTGATGTTGTTATGTATGTTTACTACTGAGTATGGATGGATTGTTTTCTCAAACGCCTTGTGTAATTAAGTGAGGTTGACTCGCGGGTGACGTCACTTAATTATACGGCGGTTGTACACGCGCTTGGATTGCGGTCTGGGGCGTGACAATACACACCACTGATCACCAAGCTTCTAGGCCGAAATCACTAGGTAACTTCCACACATACTAGTTTTTTTTAAATGAAAAAAACTTGTATTAATGAAAAAGAAAGTACAAAAATGAAGTAAGGAAAAAACAAAGACGAACTACAAAGTAAATAAACCAACCCATAGTAAAATAGAAACCCCCCTCAATAATAAATCCGCAGATCAATGTTCCTCACGAGTTTGAGATCCAGCCCTCATATGATGTGACCGCCGCTTACTCTTCTTGTACATTCCGATACTAATGTTCAAATTACCTGTAAGTAAGCAATTTTCTCTTTTGATCAACAAAGCTTTGTGACAAATTTATCGATTTTCATTAGTCCCACAGGTCTTCTACTGCTGAGATTGGAACCCCTCTTCTCATTTTCCGAAGCATGACCAGGATATTCATTCTATGGATGTACGCATCACTATATGCTTCCTCAAAATCAAAACCTTCAGGGTGCTGATAACCAGTATATTTCCCTTTCTCCATAGGTCCCTTTTGGTGGCTACTTGAAGAAGCATTCCTTAGAGTTTCTGTGGGTGTACAATTAATAGTGTGTTGTTCCTCATCGTGTTTACTGGCAATGATTCTTTCAAACTCTTCGATTAAAAATTGAGAAAGTGAGTCTACCCCCTGAGTCATATTGGTTTGAAAGAAATCCTTAATATGTGTTAACGAGGAGTCAGCAACCATAGGTGTTACTGTGTTGGTATGTGAGTCCACACATGCTTGCTTATGTAGGTGTTTTTGTGTTCCTTCTTTTCACTGTCTTTTTGTCCCACGACAGCAACCACACCGCTCTACTAATCTTTCCTCGGACGCCTCGCCGGTCACCAAACCCCTAAACCAAATCGTTAGGCACCGCCGCAAAACATATTTTTTTGGCAAAAAATAGCTCAAACCTGTGAGTCATATATCTTACCTTATAAGCATTACACTCTAAATCATATTACACATCTTAGATTTTTTTTTTTCTGAATTTCTTACAATATTGAGTTCCGTCTGTTTTCTTATGATATTGATAATTTTCATTAATTCCAATTTATAGTTTCATTTTTAATGGTTTTACTTTTAATGGTTTTGTGGCAATTATTAAAAAACTGTATTTTCTACACACCGCACCGCATTGATCTGAAGTAGAAGAGAACATTATTTTTTCGTTTGTAAATGTCAAGGAATACGGAGTAGTTTGTATATGAAGTGAAAGAGTTAACTACTCTCTCAATGAATTTACTCTGAAAACTCTATCACTTCATTTGTGAAGTAATGAGTTTGTGATTCAATTTGTCTTCATTCTACTTACAAACATAAAGCCTGTTTGGTAACATGAAAAATCTGCTGATTCGGTCGATTATGCCAAAATTTATAAAACTATGGTTGAAGTGGTTGTATTGGCTAATTCTGCTAATTTAATAAAAAAATATTTTTAAAATATACTCCGTATTTTATTAATAAAATAAAGAAAAACTTATATGCAAAAATAGCTAAATGGGCATCCACAGTAACTTCAGCCAATACAACCAAAAATGAACTCCAACCTTACTTTTTCTTATTGTTACACAATCCAACACGTGAAAACAAAAAATATGTGTGAAACTTACTAAACGGCCTCATAACCATATACGAGTATTTTTTAATATTCTTATTACACGTTCAAACTTATGTTACAAGAACCGGATCAGCCCAAACGGGTTGACCCGGAACCCGGTGATCCGTTCCATAGACCGGTCCAGTTGACTGCCAACCAGAAAACCCACCTAAACCCGTTACTAACCCGCTAAGACCCGTTTCGGACCCGGAGCCGCCCAAACACGGTAAACCCGGGAAAATGTGTAAAATCCGGACTAATACTAATTTTGGGAGCCGCTAGGAATCGAACTCCGGTCAACCGAAGAAGGAGAAAATTGCGCAATCCGTTGGACTACATGAGCCAGGGTTGACATTTCCTTTCTTCCGTGTAATTATAACGTAAAATACAATGTTGAAAACTGAAAAATGGTTATATATATTTATATTTATATTAAATACTTCGTATAATAATTTATAAATGTTGATTGGGTTTTCTCGTCATTGACCCGCCGCGTCTGGGCTGACCCGTGACCCGATCATTTGTTCGGGTTGACCATCAGTTCAATTCTTGTAACATACGTTCAAACTCAAATAATTTTTGTTTATTGGTGGGAAAGAAGTATTTTTGCTCATGTGAGATGGCTCTATTGAGAAATTCAGAGCCCGTTTGGTAATCATATTTTTTGGCTTTTCAGGCTTATCAACCAACTTTTTTACTAAACACGTAAATTTTTAGTTCCCGCGCTGAATTGTGTAATAATAAAAAAAGTAAGATTGAAGTTACTTTCCTGGCTGAATTGGTTGAAGTAACTGTAGAGAAACATTTTAACTATTTTTTCATATAAGTTTTTCTTTAATTAATTAATAAAATATATTTTAAAATTTTCCCACAAATCAGCAGAATCAACCAATACAACAATTTCAACAAAAACTTTATAAATTTCAACAAAATCTGACAATGCAACGTGTTATGTAACCACCCTCAACATCCCTCAAAGGAAATCCCAAAATACTTCCTACAGTCACAAGAGTGACTTGACACTAACATCCACGCCCAAAAGAAAATCAAAAAGTAAAAAAAAAAGTAAGATGAATATGCATCGCATAGAGATCGAGAGAGTTGGCTCCCAATCCAAATAATTGGTACCAAAACTGTTTCTTTTGAAATAAATAACCTTCACCCCGTCACTGACTTCCCACGTTCAAGCAAGCATTCGAAACCAAGATACTCTTTTTGAGTGTTCTAGTAAGAACCGCCACCGATCAAGAATTCAAGCAGTCAGCGTTTTTTGAAACCTGAGGCGCGCACCGGCGGAATCCGCTACTCTGCTAAGTCTCCGACGCCGTTGCCTGAAACCCTACTGGTTTATAGATTCAGATATAGATATACACATCTATTCGGTCCTTCCTTATATATGTATGTGATTCTTCTCTGGAGAGGGTAAAGATCCTTAAATTGAATGGGCACCAAAGAGAATTGCAGAAACGAGCTCCGTGCTGCCATTTGTCAGCTCAGCGACAGATGCCTCTACTCCGCCAGTAAATGGTACCTTCCCGCGTCGCATAAACCCTAACCCTCCCATTTACGCTGGCTATGGATATACCCAAGTTTTCGCGCGAGTGCATCCTTGCCTATACAATTCTAAAAATTTGAACTTTTTTGGAACAGGGCAGCAGAGCAACTGGTTGGGATCGAGCAAGACCCGACAAAGTACCCCACTTCACACACGCGGTTCCAGCGTGGCAGTTCCAGCATTCTCCGCCGCTTCCGCACAGCCGCTGGAGAAGGTGCCTTTTCTAGCACCCCTTCTGCTGGCGTGTCCTATGTGGCCACCCCGTCTGTGTTGGATGATGAATATGAGGCGGTTGACAGTGACTTTTACCTGCTTGCCAAGTCTTATTTTGATTGCAGGGAGTACCGGCGGGCTTCACATGTGCTCCGGGATCAGAAAAGCAAGAAAGCCATTTTCTTGCGGTGCTATGCACTTTTCTTGGTTCGTCTCTCTTGGTTCTTCATAATTGTAGTTTAATATTACTACACTACATTATTTACACACTCATATTCACTTAATGTTTGTTTGACCTGAAGTGTAACTATGAATGCTGGTTTGGTAGTCTAGTAGTGCGTAATGTCAATGGTAAAGCACTGGACTTCTGGTGCAATTACAATTATAAGTTATAAATTGCTTAATAGTATTGTAGGAAATTAAGTTTTATTTATTATAAATTAGATGAGTTTGTTTCCAATCATTAAATTGTTTTAAAGTGTGGTTTCACCTATGTGAAACAGATGATCTCAATAGCTTCATTTAAGTCAAGGAAATTGGATTTGGCAGAGTGATGACTTCTTTCTTGATGGTTAGTTTTGTGAGCATTTGTGAAATTGTTTTTTCTTCTTTCTATTTACACACATGAAAGTGTTTCAAAATTCAGGATGAAATCTGTTTCACAAAAAAAATCTTAGTCTTATTAATTTGGAATTAGGTCTCAGGTGATCACTGATCAGGTCATAAAAGACGCTTTCTTACCAATTGGTGAAATAAATCTCTCTAGTTGTATCAAGTTTACATAAAATACTTTCAGTAAACTTAAGATTTTAGAGAATCTTCCAATGTAGCACAAGGCACAAACATACTTTGCTGCGATGTTGCAAGCAATATTTAAATTGCCGAGAGTAGGATAAGGTTTAATTAAAAATAATAAAAACTTGAGATAAATTGCCCTTTTTCTTGAATTGTATGAATGTAATACCTGATCTGTTCATTACAGCACTAATATTGTGTTCAAAAAACTGCTAAAAATAGAAGTTCTCCATTCACATTTTTTCAGTCCTTGTGTTGTAAAAAGTCAACTTAAGTTGTCATAAGCCACAATTTGTTGGAGATATGATCTCAGAGATTTAACATGTAATATGTGACACACTAACATTGTTTTCAGTATTTGATTTACTCCATCAATAGTTTCCAATCTAATTATTGGGATCAAACAATGACATCATATTTATATAGTTGAAGGAGCGAATATATGCCTTTCATGTATCTTTCTAATTCATTAGTCAATATTATATGGCTAAAGGGTCACTGACTTAAAGTGTTCAATTAGCCCCTTATATAGGAGGTTCTGCCCGGCCGTCGCTAATTGGGGCGGTTCCCGGGGGAATTTTTTTATGAAATTTTTTGAGCATCTTCTTCATTAAGTCTAGTTTACCCATACCAAATTTCAGCTAAAAATTCAAACGGGAAGGCAGTCAAATGATTTTCTGAAATGTACTTTGCTGTT